TCCTACTACTACTACTACTGCGACGACTACTCCTACAACAACAACTTGACGGCGTTGCTGCGTGCAGGTACTCATGCTCTCACGATTTCCAGCATACTTCATCCCGTCATTCCCGTAATTAGCAGTATGCTGCCGGCTCAACTGCATGGGCCTCTTGATCACTTGCACTGTTGCAAACTGTGCCAACCCGGCCTTGGCTGGCTGGCCGTTGCGCGACAGCAGGCACAGAGCTTTGGCACCTTCCTCGACCAGGAACTGTGCTGTGACCACTCCCAACGCACCAAGGCCGCCAGACAGGACTGGCATTTGCTCCGGAGTGCAGAGCAAGCCTGAGTCAGCGGCAAAATCAAGAGACAGCAAAACATTGGCGCTGCACCATAGCCCGACCATAACCACAATAAGCAATACCAGGCATCAAAAACATGACAAGAATATTCATAAAAGCCGCGACTGAATGCTGCAACCAATGGACCACAACATGAATACTATAAGAGGTTAAGCAACAACAATAGTCACAACGCAAACGCTGAACCGTCAGTAGTAGAACATGATAGCAACACTGCTGCAAGGCCCCAAATCTTGCAAATTAAACCTGAACCCAGTCAAAAGGCGACTCGGCGAGCTGATGACGACTTTTCCGATGTTGTTGGCCCTCTGGAGGAACTGCAATGCCGCGACGCCCTTCTCCATGCCATCAAAGATGTGCCTCGCTTGCTTCTTATCGGCCGTAGCAGCGGGTATGCAGTGGTGATAGCAGCAGTAGTTGCCGCAGCAGCAGCAGCAGGTGAGGTAAGAGCATGTGGTAGTCGAAGACTACAGACTCTTCCCGGCTGTGCTAGTGTCAGCGAGTACACACCGTCATGAGCCAGAGCAGAAACCGAATCTGCAGCAAGGAACATGTTGATGGGACTCAGCCCTCCGTCGTCCACACGCTGCAAGAGTCTCTTCAGGTACGCGTTGTACCTCCATGGCTCCTTCAGGAAGCAAGAAGTGCCTGCATCACTCCTGTTAGCGATCACGGCACAGTTCTGCACGAGTCCTTCTCCATCATTGTATCCGCGGCAATCTTCTCATACATGACATCCGGGCCTCAGCATGGGCGTGCGGATCAATTCGTGATTTTGCATCACACAATTTGTGTCTGCGTCCTCCTATCTACCCGCCCAACACAGTTCAGCAAAGCCACGAGCTTGGAACATCCTGAGGTCAGCAGACATGAAAGACACTGCAGCATGAGTAGTCAGTGCTTCGAGGCTTGTAGGATGCAGTTCAACATCTATCCGAGAAGCTGCTCGTGGGACCAGATTCCACGCTTGCCGATCTCGAGGAATCGGCCACCCTTGCGGAGCAAGGCCAACGATCGCGGAATGTAGTCATCGTGGCCTCGGTTCGATACCACAGAAGCCCTCAGCAAGACAATAGCTGGATTCTAACACATGCATGCATTTGTGCATGATCATATATATATATATACACATACATACATGTACATATACATACGGGTACACCGCTGTATGTGTATACAACTAACTGCATACAGACGGCGTCATCACGAAACACCTCTGCATGGGTGTACATAGTTGTAACATACACATACGTACATGCCAAACGTCGGGGCAAAGCACTGAGACTGTTGAGCACGACGTCGATTCCATCCACTCCGTGCTCCTGCACTGTTCGTGAGTCTGCTACCGATGCGACACGCTGAACAACGCACAAGAACAACGAGCTTGAGGCAGACTTCAAAGAAGAGCACGATGTCTCGACTGGAAGCTTGTTTTCCGGAAGCTCTAACTGAGACGCCTTGAGGAGCTGCTTCATGTCATCCTCGAACTTCTGGCCGTTTCTACTGCTGGTGATGTATTTCACCTCAACGGCAGAGGGACAAAACTGTGCCCCGGTTGCTCAAGCTACAGTGAGAGTGAGGTCTTGGACTGCTTGCTGTCAAGGTGCACCCAGCCCTCTCAAGAATTCATGTTTTTCGTCTGCTCCGGCAGTGGCATAGACCTCTGCACCGACGAAGGCAGCGTACCTTTTGGAGATCAGGATCCCTACAACAGCATGTGGAAAAGCGACGCATGAAATCTGAAAGGCACGCTCAAGAATGCTTTTGTTGGAACAAGTAAGAGCAGTTGCACTCCATTGACTTCCTACTCCTTCCCATGCGGCTGCTCCTGGTCCTCCTCCTCAGCCGCCACTACCACTACTGCTGCGACTGCTGCGACTGCTGCTACTACGACCACGACTACCACTACCGCCAACGCTGCCCCTGCCTCCGCTACTGCTACTGCCACTGCCACTGCGACCGCCGCTGCTACTAGTACTACGGCCACTACGACTACTGCGACTACTTCGAGCACTGACACTACTAGACTTGCTGCTATGCATACGACGACGAAGCCGATGACGACGACGTCTACAACTGCTGCTAATGCTATTGAGAATGGAAGGCTGTACATAACCGCCACCACCACCAGCACCACCACTGCCACCAGCAGCAACAGCAGCATCATCCCCATCATCATCAACAACATCATTATCGCACTCATGCTCGTGGTCACCGCCACTGTCGTCGGCATCGTCGTCATCAACATGAGCATAAAGGGTTCATCATCATGGCTAGAGTGACCACAACCATGAGAAAGATGATGCCTCCAGCTTAGGGCTTAGGCACTGGATGGCCACCAGCCCCACACCCCCAGCTGCTGCGTGGATGAGGACTCGCTCGCCGCGCTTCAGCTTCGCAAGGTCGCCCAGGGCCTCCTCTACGGTGACGAAGATCACCGGCATACAGCAGGCCTCTCGAGACGACTCTTAGTGCATCTTTGGAGGGGGGACGGCTTTATGCATTCGATCTGGCCTCCTCGTAAGTCCACGAGGTGGGCTTTGGGGAGAGTAAGGCTGCGGAGCTTGTGTTGTAAGTGCTGAGGCACCCGGGCGACTCGCCAAAGATGTCCTCTGCCAGTCGCAGATGCGGCACATTGTCCCCAAGGCCGATGACTGTGCCACCGCAGTCTGCACCAGGTGGACCCGGATCGCCGGGGTAAAGCCCCATGACATTCAAGACATCGCGGAAGTTCAGACCGACTGCACGAATGCGCAGCTGTGCCATCCCTGGTGCTGCGGCTACTCGTACCGACGTGTCGGCTTGAGGAACCACTCGCAGACCAGTAAGGGATCCACGAGCGGGCATGTTCAGTCGCACCGCTCCGGTATACTTCACAACAGATCGCGCCAGCTTTGCAGCACTCATCTCTCCATCTCGGATCGCGATCTCCTCTTCCTCTGCTGGCAAGGCCGGCAGAATGTCTTTGGAGAGCTGGGCCCAGGCATCGGATTCTTTGCTTGCGTCTAAGTCAACGCATGTGATCCGGAGTGCGCCTGTAGGCAGGAACTCGGCTTAGGGGGTTTGCTGCAAGACTACAATGACTACAAGGTGACCTGGTCACTACTGCTACTGATATCAGCATCGTTAGTCCTATTTTCATCATGCTATCATTCCTAAGATGAGTATTACCCTCATATCTGTACATGATGAACAACATCTTCACAAGAGATTATCATCTTTTTGCTGATGTTGGAGCGAATCTTGGCCTGGATATTCCATTCGCACAGCACGTGCAAAGCCCCACAGCCCACTGTGGTCCGGTGCACCTTCAAGAAGCAATGACAAGAAGCGAAGACATGCTCTCCGTGCACAAACACCTTTACTGACTTGCATGTGTGCTTGAACAGGTGTTACTGTGTATACGCCTGTCTATTTGTGTATGGTCCTAGGATACAGACAGACATCCATACAGACATGAATACAGAAGTACATACACATATACATGCATGCATGCATACAGACATACATGCATGCATACATACCTACACACACATATGCACACAAGTGCAGTGCAATACAAGAACCTACAATACAAGACTCTGACATACACAAAAAAAGCAATACACTACATGCATGCGCGCATACACACACTACATTAGCACTACTTTATATTGCACTACTTATTACACTACATTACACTACACTACAACGCCATGCAATGCAATGCAATGCAATGCAATGCAATGCAATGCAATGCAATGCAATGCAATGCAATGCAATGCAGTGCAACACACCCAACATGGTGCGATACAATACAGTTCAATACAATACAATGCAATGCCAGTGCAACGTAATGCAATGGAATCCCATACCATGCCATGCCATACCATAC